TGAGGATCCCCGTAAACATATGAAGTTACAAATGCTGACAAGAAACTCATTGAAAAGCAACTCTATGAAACAGAAAGAAAGTTGACAAGAGCCAAAGAAATGACAAGCGCATTGGAAAGAGAGAAGGGAAGATGGCTCCTTACTATTCAACGTTATAAGAGTGCACTCAAGAATCTTGTTGGTGATATTTTACTCACAGCTTCCTTCATCAGTTATGCTGGTCCATTTACTCCAACCTATAGAAAGGAACTCATCAACTTCTGGATTAAGGAAATTTCAGATCATGGATTTGCTGTTAGTCCAGACTATAGCATTGACAAGGTGTTATCCAAAGCCACTACCATTAGGGATTGGACAGGAAATGGATTACCATTTGATAACTTCTCAGTTGAAAATGGTGTTTTGGTCATGAACGATAACAAGAAATGGCCATTGATGATTGACCCTCAAGGACAGGCAAAGAATTGGATTAAGAAATTCTTTGGATATGATAAGAGTACATCATTGGAGAATGCAAAAATATATGTTACATCACTCAAAGATCCTAAACTTATGAAAGTTATGGAGCTAGCCATCAAGAATGGTGTCCCTGTACTTTTGGAAGATATTCTAGAATCTCTTGACCCATGTCTTACTCCTATTATTAAGAAATCAATTGAAACCATATCTGGTAGAGATGTATTAAGACTAGGAGACAAAGTACTAGACTATAATCACAACTTTAAACTGTTTTTGACAACTAAATTGTCTAACCCAAGATACTCTCCAGAAGTTGTCTCAAATATTTCAATTATCAACTTTACTGTTACTGCCCAAGGATTAGAAGATCAATTATTGGCTATTTTGGTAAAGAAGGAAAAACCTGAACTAGAAGACCAAAAGACAAGTACTGCATTAGCTGTAGCAGCTGCCAACAAACAATTAGAAATCTTACAAGCAGATATTCTTCGTGCATTATTGAGTGACCAAAGTGAGGAATTGTTAGAGAATGAAGTATTGATTACCAAACTCCAACAATCAAAGAAGACAAGTGAAGAAGTTACTGTTAAACTTGAATTATCTCAAGAAACAGAAAAGAAGATTGATAACGCAAGAAATCAATATAGAGAAGCTGCTAGAAGAGCATCTATTTTATACTTTGCTCTTTACGACATTGGTCAAATTGATGTTATGTATCAACATTCTTTAGATTCATATATTGAACTCTACAAGAAGAGTATTGATAACAGTCCAAAACCAAAGAGATCTGATCAACAAATTCAACAAAGAATTGAAATGTTGAACGAATACCATACTTATGAGTTCTATAAGAAGGTATGTCAAGGATTGTTTGAAAAGCACAAACTTCTCTTCATTTTCCATCTCTGTGCCAAGATTCTTCAAAGTGATGGATTACTTAATTCTGAAGAATATGACTTTTTCTTGAAGGGAGCTCAATCTCTTGAAAAGGAGACATCAAATCCTCTAAAGAGTTGGTTACCTCAACAAGCATGGGAAGCAATATCAGATATGGATAGAATTGTACCATTCTTCCATGGCATTGCTAGATCATTTGAAGAAGATGGTGATGACTGGAGAGTGTGGTTCCTTTCAGATCAACCAGAAAATGATCATCTTCCTTCAGAATGGCAAACAAAGGTTGATGATTGGACAAAGATGTTAATTGTTAGATGTGCTAGACCAGATAGATTAATTAATATGATCAAATCATTTATTGTTTCAAGAATGGGATCTGATAAGTATATCAAACCTCCACAACTTGATATTACATCTGTTTATGAGAATGATTCTGATTGCTTGACTCCAATTATTTTCACATTGGCCCAAAATGTAAATCCACAAGAGCAAATTATCAAGATTGCAACAGAAAAGGGTATCAAGATCAATATTTTCTCACTCGGTAGAGGACAAGAGCATTGCATTGAAGATGCTTTGAATAAGGCTGCAAGAAATGGTGAGTGGGTATTCCTTGCCAATTGTCATTTGATTGTAAATTGGCTTCCTAAGCTAGATGAAAAACTTGAAACACTTCTAAAGAGAGATGAGGATGGTACTAATTCTAAGATTCATCCAAACTTTAGACTTTGGTTATCAAGCAAACCACATCCAAAATTCCCAATAAGCTTATTGCATAGATCAACAAAGGTAGCAGCAGAGTCACCAACAGGTCTTGTTGCAAATATGACCAGATTATTCAAATCTATTTCTCCTCAACAATTCCAACTTGAGGGTTCAGCTAAACCAGTAGAGTATAGAAGATTATTATTTGCGTTGGCCTATTTCCACAGTGTTGTAGTTGAAAGAGGTAAATTTGGAAGTATGGGATGGTCATCAAACTATGACTTTAATGATTCTGATTTTGAATCAGCTTTGAGAGTGATGAATAACTTACTTCATAAGCATCCAAGAATTCATTTCGATGCCCTTAGATATATGATTGTTAACATTTGTTATGGAGGTAGAGTAACTGATGAAGTGGACAAGAAGATTTTAGATACTTACTCTAGACAATTCTTCAATGATTTGTTGCTTGATATGAATGATTTCCCATTATCTTTGAATGATGAAAGATATTTTGTTCCTGGAAAGAATGTACTTTCAAAGTTTGTTGTAAACTCTAGTAATATTCCAAACACAACAACTGATCCAACTCTTGATCATGCTGTGTTCATGAAGTTTATTAGGGAAGGAATGCCCCAAAATGATACACCAGGTGCATTTGGTCAAACTGCTAATGCTTTTGTCACAAGCCAAATTGAAATTGCCAATAATTTGTTGAATGGTTTATTGAAGATTACACCACAAACAGTTCAAGTTGGATCAAACAATATTTATCTCAAGATACAACAAGATATTCAGAATCTTGTTTCAATCTTGAAGGAAATCCCTGAAGAAATTAATTCTTCCAAGATTCCAGAGTTTGATTATCATCATCCTCTTTTAGTTGTACTTGCTCAAGAGTGTGAAAGATACAATGCTTTGATTCAATTGGTTAGAAAGACTGTTGAACAATTGCTTAAAGCTGCTAGAGGCTTTAGTGCCATGGATTTAGTATTGGAGGATTTATTCCATGATATCAAGTCGAATAAGGTCCCAGCCAAGTGGCTCACTGCTTATCCATCAACAAAATCACTTTCTTCTTGGATTGTTGATTTGAATAAGAGGGTTACTTTCTTCAGAGAATGGGCCACAACAAATGTTGAACCAGCTGTTTTTTGGTTGTCTGCCTTTACCCATCCTCAAGGTTTCTTGACTGCAGTCAAACAAATTTCTGCCAGAAGATTCAACGATGTTGATAAATCAGTTGAGAAATTAGATTTTGAATTCCAATTTACTGGCAAAGATGTCTCACAAATCTCAGAAGGTGCCAAAGAAGGTGTTTATATTTACGGCCTTATTTTAGAAGGAGCTGGATGGGAAGCCTCATCTCAAAGTTTGACAGAACCTCGACCTTTACAATTGAGAATTGATTTACCTGTTGTACATATTAGACCAGTTCCACAAGAAGAGTTGAAGAAGTACTCTAATTCTAATAATTACTTCAAAGCTCCTGTTTACATGTCACCAATGAGATCTGGAATAAGTACTATGGTCTGCTATTTCGATTTGAAGATTAAGCAACAATCAATTCCAACAACCTCAGCAATGTTCATTAATGCTCAACTCCCAGATGATAAGCAAATTGATAGATCCAATCCATTAGGAGGAGTAATTACATATTCTGATCATTTTGTGAAGAGAGGTACAGCCTTGTTATTACAAGATTAAAAATATTTATTTACAAATAAATAATAAGTTTACAATTAATGTTTTCTTGGTGATTGTCTTATAAAAGATAATTGAGATGAAGATCCAAGTCTTGGTGAAGTTCCTAATCTTGTTGTTGCGTATGGATCAGTAATGGTTGGATTTACTTGACTCAATCTCTCTGCAAAACTTGAACCCATCAAATTTGAATGAGTTGGAAGAGAAGATGATAAACCATCATCTAATTGACGTGGACTTGGAATTGGAATACATGTTGGTTTTGGTGAAAAGCTTGACTTTCTCTGTGGTGAAGTATAATCAGTTGTTCCTCTCGGAGTTGTAGATCCTCTGAGTGGGCTTGATGAAGGATTCAAATTGTTAACAGCAACTCCTGGAATATTAACTGGTGGTTGAGATGAAGGTGGAAGAGAGTGAGATCTTCTACTTCTTTCAATTAAATCTTCAGCTGATCCTGTTGGTATCAACTTTGATTTAATATTTTGATTAAATTCTCTTTCAGATGAAATTTCCAAATCAAATTCATCTTGCATCTTTTGTGAATCCATTTCTTTTCTCTTTTCCATTTCACGTTTAATCTTTTGTTCTAAAATAAAGTTTTCACTTTCCAATCTTGAGTATTCCTTTAATAATTTCAAATTCTTTTGTCTATAATTATCACCATCAGAAGCTAATCTCTTTTGTTCCTTGTTAAGAATTTCAACTTGTTCACTCAATTTTTGTACAATATCAGTCTTATTTTCATTGTTGAGATTTTGTAAAATATTTTGAACTCCTTGCAAAACTTCACTTCTTTCCTTTTCAATTTGTTTTTCAATTTCACTATTATAATAATAATATATTAAATAATATTTTAAATCATTTAATATTTAAATAATAATAACAACTTACTATTTTTCACTCAAAACAGATTCTAATTGTTTTCTCAATTGAGTAACAATATATTCCTTATCTTGTTTTAATTTACTTTCAATAAAAATTTTTTCTTGTTGAACCTTTTCAAGTTTCTTTTGTAAAGTATTTGTTAACAATTCTTCTTCTTCTTCAACTTGTTTAACAAGTGTTTCTTTTTCCTTCTTTAATCGATTTAATTTCTTCATCAATTTATTTGTTATTAATTCTTCTTCCTCTTCAACTTGTAATTGCTTTTAATATTTGTTATTATTATTATGATGATGATGATTATTGTTATTGTAATATATAAGAGTAATAATAATAATAATAATACGGAATATATTATCATCATGTTAAGAAAATAAATAACAATATAAAATACATACAAGGTTAGTATTTGCATTTTGTAATTTTTCAATCTTTGATTTTAATTTAATATTATCATTTTCTAAATCTTTAATACGTTGTTTATATTGTTCAATCTCCGATAGTGGTATTGTTATATTAACAACACTACTACTAGTAGTAGTAGTAGAAGTAGTAGCAGTATGCATATTATTACTTGTTTCTTGTTGTTGTTGCATTTTTTAATAGGTTAGGTCCTAACCTTTAAAATCAACAAAGCCTAATGAGAGGAGTAATCAAAGAGAGAATCTCTCTTTTGTTAATCGATGTGTTGTAATATTACAATACATCATGTACACAGTTAAAGTGTGTTAGATCAGAGGTCATAACATCAAGCTTGTTATATTATTATATAATTTAACAAGTGTGAAAGGGTCTTTTAATGGTAAAAAAACAATTATTAATTTTAAAAATAATATTTCAAGTCAATCGGAAGTGCATAAGCGAATGATCGTGTTGATAATTACAAAATCGGATTTAGGAACGATTAAAAAATCTATTTTCAACGTCTATGTTGTCGTGTTATTTATTGATCTTGTTCATTCATTTCATCACACACTTGAGTGGATGATATGATAATTTCTTCTACTTCATATTGTTGTGATGATGATTGTTGTTGATTATCATTGAAATTTGAAATTGTTGTTGTACAACACTGTGTATCTAGTGGGGAGATAGAGGTATTATTATTATTAGTATTATTGGTATTATTAATATCACTATCATTAGATTGATGAGTTGTATTATAATGATATTGATCTGTTATTAGTATATTCTTATTAATGGAATGAATTAAAAAGTGGAGAAGTGTTTTGTATTGTCTTTCATTGGTTGGATCCAAGCTTGCAACTTCCAAATAAGGTAAAATTTCATATTGAATAAATTCCTGATAAAAAGATCTATCTAATTTACATCTATTTAATAAATCATCATATCTTAATAAAGTTTGTTGTGATGTTTTAATAACATGTTGATATTCATTCTTTAATAAATTATATGATTTAATCATGTTATTATATTTCATTTCAATTAATTCAATTTCAGATTTAATATTTGATTGAACTTGTAATAAATTATCTTGTCCATTTAATAAATAATCTAATCTTAATGTTAAATGCTTATTTGTATTATAAAGTGTCCATGATTCAATTTGTGATTTTTCATTTTGTATTTTATAATTATTTACTTGTTCTTGTAATGAACTATTTACATTCTTAATTTGATTTAATTGATTAAAATAATCTTGTCTTGTTAATCTTAATCTTTTTAATTGTTCAATAGATTCTGTTTGAATTTGTTCATATTTACATCTTAGGTGATTAATATTTTCATCATATTGTAATATTAAATGTTGATATTGTTGAATATTTGAATTTAAATCTTCAATTTCTTTACAATATTTAGAAATATCTTCTTGATATTTTAATTCTAAATTTTCATATTCTGTTTGTAAACTTTGATATTCAATCTTGGCTATTTGAATTAATTTATCACTATTATTATTAGTAGTAGAAGTATTATTAGTATTATTGTTAATAGTATTATTATTAATAGTATTAGTATTATTAATAAAATATTGTTGGTTATTTTCCTTCTTATAAATAGTCATCAGCTCTTTCATATCTCTTTGATGTTTAAGTTGTAATTGTTGATATTGAGATTGTAAAACATTTAATTCTACTTGATGGAATTCAAGTAATTCCTTATATCTAGTTTCCATATCTTGTAATTTAACATTTAAATGTGAAATTGTTTGTTGATACATTGGTATATCAATTTCCATAATAGGTGTTACTTGTTCTTTCATTGATTCTAATTGTTTTTCATTGTGTGAATGAATAACACGATCCACACAACCTTGTACAAATAATGAAATATAATCTCTATTAGTATTTTGTATTGTATTATCCATATTATTCATTGTAATAACTGTTTGTCTTAATAAATTACTAATCTTGACATTGGTATTTTCAATATGTGTTTGATATTGTACAGTTTTAGAAAGTAAATGTGGATTAACATCAATACTTATACCATTATTATTATTATGGTATTACTGGAATTGATTGTAGTTGGTGAAGATATTGTAGTACTAGTAGTAGTAACAGTAGTTGTTGTTGTATTATTACTATTGTTATTAGTAGTATTACTCTGAGAAAGCTTTTGAACTTGACTTTGAAGGAATTGATTTCTATTCTTTAAACTTTCACACTTATTTTCATTTTCCTTGATAATTTTCTTAGCTTCTTCATGCAATCGTTTAAATTCATCTTTATCCATTTCACTATTTTGTAAATCAATTCTTAACTTTCTAACTTGTTCTTCTAATTGTTGATTCTTTTCTGTTACTTGTTGATATTCTTGATTGGTAAATAAATGTTGTTGGACAATTGAACTATTAAGAGAGTTATTAGTGTTGGTAGTAGTACTAGTGGTAGTTGTAGTACCATTAATTGTAGTATTCAATTTAGAAGTATCTAAAAGGCTATTAGTATCATTAACTCCTAAACGTTTTCTCTTATTACTTTTAATCAATTCAGAATCACCCTGTGTAAATATATATCCAGTAGATGCACCATTTGTACTTGTAATAGTGGAGAGAGGTAATCTATTTGATGATGTATTGATAATAGATTTGTATGATTTAATTGGTGTATAGGAAGGTGTTGAAGTGGTAGTAGTATTACTGTTGTTGGCCATCTTTAAACGGTCAGAGATTAGGCTTGTTGAAAGTGATGATGCTGATGATTTATAATTTAATAGGGAGGCAAACGGTGAAGGGGTGGTTGATGTGGTAGTGTTGTTGTTTGATATTGTTGTTGTTGGTCCTCTACCAACAAGGTATTGATGTTGTTGTTGTGGTTGATGATGATGATCAGAGTTTGTTGCTCCTTGTTGTGAATGATAGTGGTATCGATGACTCATTTTTTTTCACCTTTAAATATTTAACGTTTAGATTTGAAAATTTTGGCGGCAAACAATTTGGAGGGAAAGTTGTGGATCTAATTCTATTGCATACCTCTGCTGTATGATAAATTCAACAATGGTTCCTTTGAGGCTTTCTATGATTTAATGAAGTTGAACTATTCGTTCATCCTGCAGTGGGTGTTATTGTTGAATGATAATGATAATGAAATTGATTTAAAATATGAAAAATAAGAAACAACAACGAAATGATGGTGCAGTGATCACTGTCAAGCCTTTGGAAAAATCTTCTCCATCCTCATCATTAACAACAACACTTGGCAATGCAAATACTAATAATAATAACAAATCAGAAAAGTTACAAACAAATATCAATGAACAACAACAACATAGTGTAAATAATCAATCAACATCATCACCTACATCAACAACAAAATCATCTACATCAACATCAACATCAACATCAACATCAACATCATTAAATAATTTAAATATAATAATACAAGCAATATTATTAAGTATATTAATATTATTTATAATAATATTCATTCCATATTATTATTCATTAGATATAATATATATAATATTACCAATTGTATTAATAATATTACCATTACTATTATTTGAAATTTATATTAAAATTAAATCCATCTATTTAGAACATGTACTTTCTGAATCTTCTAATTTTATTTATGTATTTTTATTTACATTTACATGTCTTGTATTAATATCAAGTGTTTTATTCTTTACATTTGAAACATTGGAACATTCATATTATGATCAATTTGAAGAATTTAATACAATTTCAATATTAGAAAATGATTTACAAAATGAAATATTATATCATTGTTATAATCAAAAGATTTGTTGTGAAAATGAATTAATACCATATATATCTGATCATTTAAATTCAATTACAAAATTTAGAAATCAAGAGAAATTTAAAAGAAAACATGCTTTGGAAAATATATTGGATTCTATTAGAAGAAATAAATCATTTGAAAAATTAAATGAAACTGAAATTATTCATAATAATAATTCTAATAATAATAATAATAATAATAATAATTCTAATAATAATGGTAATAATAATAATAATGGTAATATTTGTTATGAATATAAATATAAATTAAAACCAATGAATATTAAGAAATATATTAAATCACATACTTGGCATGATCATGTTCAAACTTTCTTTAAAAGATTAACAAGAGGTTTTGGTTTAACACATGATTAATTATTCATTTCTTTTCAATAATAAATAAATATATATTAAAATGGTAATATATTGTAACCGTTCTTATTTGATTGATAATATCCACAAATATCCATAAACACACAATCATCACATAACACTATTATTAGAAAATTGAGTATTATCAATCAAATCAATGAAATTTTCTTATTGTCGGCCATAGAAAATCTCTCAACTAAATTAAAAAAGGCTTCAAATCTCAACAGAGGTTAGCTCTCAGTTCATCTTCAGCATCACTCCTTGGAGAGAGATCTAAAAAAATCTAAAACCTCTCTTAAATATGTGTATGTAACCTAATAGTAATTTAATAAGAGTAGACAATTATAATTATGTTTTAATATATTAAAACGCCCCTTCCTTTGCATCATTTATTTTCATCATCAAATATGGTCCTTTAAAATCAACAATAATTCTCTTCTCATGATCGGACAATGTAATTAAATTCGTACTGTACATTATAATTCTCATTATTATTATTCAACCAACATCATATGATCATCATAATTATAAAATAGCCTTCTTTTCAAATTTATTATTCGGAGGAGGTAATACTTCCAATGCTAACAATGATGTAACTAGTCAAAATATGATTTCATCATCATCACCTAAACAAGGCTTTTTATTTGGTTCATCACCTCCAATAGCAAGTTTAATATCTAGTATTCAGGGTCAATTTTCTTCTTCTAATCATCATACAAGTAATAATAATACTCATCAAAATAATAATAACAACAATAACAATAATAACAACAATATACTATTAAACATGTTAAGTAATTATGCTATTCAACAACAACAACAACATCAATGGATTGGAAGAGAGAATGAAATGATACAATATATATTAAAATTATCACATAATCCACTTTCATTTAGGCTTGATGATCATTTCATACAACAAGAAGAAATAGATTCACATA